TAAAGCCAAGAAATCTTCTAGTTTCCATGGTAAAAAGTCGACACCTAGGATGGGGGTCCATCAAGTGGAGGAAGAGGTTGGGCTAGGCCTAGAAGTTCCAATGGCAGAGATAGGTTTGTACAACCTTAAATCAGGATCAGACAACGGCTATAAGGTAGGCCTAGTGGCTAATGATGTATATTTAGAAATGATTCTAGATACAGGCAGTGCCTTGACTATATGTCCTTCTGAGACATTTTATGAAACATTTTCTAACCTCAAACTTAGGCCAGCAAATGTGAAACTTACTACTTATTCAGGTCATGATGTACCTGTTCTGGGACAAGTGAATGTCAATGTTAAGTATAATAATCAGCAGGCGAGTTTGCCTTTGACAGTAGTTAGTTTAGAAAGTAAGAGTCAGCCGATTCTGTTGGGGCGAAACTGGTTAGGCCAGTTGAGGTTAGATTGGCAAAATGTGTTTTCATGTAAAGCCACTGTGGATCATAGTTCTGATGTGGATATTGCTAAGTTGAAGAGTAAATTTAGGTCAGTTTTTCAGCCTGGAACGGGTGAAATTAAGGGTGTTAAGGCTCACATTGTTTTGAAGGAAGGGACAGTCCCTAAGTTCTGTAAGGCGAGACCAGTGCCTTTTGCGTTAAGGGAGAAAGTTGAGAGTGAGTTGGACCGCATGGTTCAAGAGGATGTTGCGTACAGAGTTACTAATTCACAGTGGAGCACTCCACTTGTGGTTGTCCCTAAGCCTAATGGTGTTAGACTTTGTGCCGATTATAAGAATACTCTTAATCAGTGTATTGAAATGGAACATTATCCGCTTCCTCAGGCTCAAGATATTTTTGCAACTCTAGGCGGTTGCTCAGTTTTTAGCTGCCTTGATCTTTCAAATGCGTATCAGCAATTGGCGGTAGCGGATGAATCGCAACATCTGTTGACCCTAGCTACCCATAAGGGTCTGTATCGTTTAAAAAGGCTACCATATGGTTTGTCTTCAGCTCCTGCAATTTTTCAGTCAGCCATCGACCAAATTTTAACAGGTCTTCCAGGAACGGTGGCGTACTTAGATGACGTCTTAGTAGCGGCTCGCTCTAAGGAAGAGGGGCTCGCCCGTCTGGCGCAAGTGCTGCAACGCCTTGATGAGTTTGGTGTTCGAGTAAACCAACAAAAGTGTAAGTTTTTGCAATCTTCAATAGAGTATTTAGGACATGTGATTACTCGAGATGGTCTCCGTCCACAAGAAAGTTTGTTAACTGCGCTGCGTAAAGCGCCTGAGCCTAGTACTAAGGAAGAGTTACGAGCCTATATTGGTCTAATAAATTATTATCATGCATTTATACCTAACCTGTCTGCTAGAATAAGCTGTTTTTATGACTTATTACATAAGGATCATCCATGGGTGTGGTCGGAGGTGTGTTCTAAGACTTTTCAGGAGAGTAAATCATGGGTGTTGGACTCAAGTTTGTTAGTTCACTATGATGTGAAAAAGCCCATAGTTCTGACGTGTGATGCGAGTCCCAGAGGGGTGGCTGCTGTTCTATCTCATCTTATCGATGGGCAGGTAAGGCCAATTGCCTTCGCATCGAAAACGCTAAGTGCCAGTGAACGGAATTATTCCCAGTTACATCGGGAGGCTCTGGCTTTGATCTTTTGAGTCAAAAAGTTTCATAAGTATATATATGGAAGACACTGTATTCTACAGACTGATCATCAGCCGTTGACGGCTATTTTTGGCTCTAAAAAGGGCGTTCCTAGTATGGCGGCAGCTAGGCTGCAGAGATGGGCCTTGATTCTATCAGCATATGATTTGGAGGTTAGGTACCGGAAGGGAGTGGATGTCCCTCACGCTGATGCGTTGTCTAGGTTACCCTTAGCAGAAGCGGAACCTATAGAGCTGGATGCTAATTTTGTTTCACATGTAGATATGTGTACAGAAGTGATGAACAATTTCTGTGTTGTCAAGGACATTGCACCTATTACTGCCTTGCATATAGGTAAAATGACGGATAAGGATCCGATTCTTTCGAAGGTCCGAGATTTTGTGATGTACGGCTGGACGAGCTCGGTTGAGCCGGAACTAGCTATTTTTCTAAGGAAGAAGGACGAGTTGTCCGTGGAACAAGGATGTTTGCTGTGGGGTTCTCGTGTAGTGATTCCAAAGAAACTGTATTCATCTGTGCTTCAAATGTTGCATGATCAACACCCGGGAGTTACACGCATGAAGATGCTGGCGAGAAGTTATGTCTGGTGGCCAGGCATGGAGAAGTCGATTGAAGACGTGGTGGCCTCTTGTTCTGCGTGTCAGTTAACTAGGAATTCGATACCTAAAGTACCGTCGCAGCAATGGCCTACAACATCAACCCGATGGCAGAGGATACACATTGACTTTGCGGAGGATCCAGAGTCGAGACAGCAACTTTTAGTTTTGATTGACACATACTCTAAATGGTTAGAGGTATTTATCATGAGTTCCATGAATTCTTCCAAGGTTATTGAGAAACTCCGTACCTTGTTTTCATCGTATGGATTGCCTGTCGAACTGGTGTCGGACAACGGAAGATCTTTTACTAGTCAAGAGTTCAAAACCTTTTTGCATAACAACAATGTGAAGTTCACATTAACTCCCCCGTATCATGCGGCTTCAAATGGATCTGCAGAGAGAAGTGTTCAGGAGGTCAAGAAAAACCTTTTGCGTCAAGTGATTGAGGAACATCAGCGTTCTCAGCGTACCACTCTTCAAATGAAATTAGATAATTTCTTGTTTGCGTACCGCAACACTCCAAATACAGTTACTGGCTTAACCCCTGCAGAAATGTTCCTGTCTTGGAAGCCTCGCACACAGTTGGTTATGTTAAAACCCAATCTCCAGTCATCCATTGATCAAAAACACAGGGAACAAAAAGATGCAGCTGACAGGCTTAGGGGAAGAAGTAGATTTTTCTCAGAAGGTCAGGCAGTCTATGTCAAAACTGTCCGAAATGAAAAGATATCTTGGGTTCCTGGCAAAATAATGCTACAGAGAAGTCCGGTCACCTATCTTGTGAGTGTCATTGGTGGAAAACCCCGATTTTGTCATGCAGACCACTTGAGAGCTCGGTATGCAGAAGAGGAGGAGATTTTTGTATCACCCAAGGATCCCGCTGTATCACCCCAAGTACCCAAGAATTCACCCCCGCCGGAGGATCGACCATCTAGTCCCCTGATGATGTCACCTGTACCTAGGCCTACTACCAGTCCCAGGGAGAGCCTAGGGCAAGCCCAGCCTCAGCCAACTCCTGCGTCGCCGCTAGCACAGTGCAGCCCACCACCCTCGCTGAGGAAGTCTGGACGGACTGTGCGAAAGCCTCACAGGCTGGACTTGTAAAATTATTAATGAATAATGGGAAGAAGAAATTTTGGTTGCATTTTATTGAAAGTGAATTTATTTTATTTTGAAAGTTGAGTTAATTTTGAATTTATGATATTGACTTTTTTTTTATGGGGAAGACGAGTGTAGTAGAAGTCATTATAGTTTCATATATGAACAGTCATAATTATTAGTAACGGAAGAGTTATTATGTTTTGCGGGGTGGCTGCACTGTGCGCTGAGCCCTGAAGTGGGATGATTCGTCACGGCTCCGTCTTCTATGTCCACCAACGAACGTAAGTGGTTCTGTAGCTATATCGTCCACTTTTCTAGCGTAACGTTTAGGTTACGACAGGTTGTAAAGGATTTTCCACATGTAGTGCACTTATGTGGTCTCTCTCCGGTGTGTACTAATGTATGTTTCTTCATATTGCCACTGGTTGTGAAGGATTTTACACATGAAGTGCACTTTGTGGTCTCTCTCCTGTGTGTACTAATGTATGTCTCTTCATATGGTAAATGGTTGTAAAGGATTTTCCACATGTAGTGCACTTATGTGGTCTCTCTCCGGTGTGTACTAATGTATGTTTCTTCATATTGCCACTGGTTGTAAAGGATTTTCCACATGTAGTGCATTCATGAGGTCTCTCTCCGGTGTGTACTAATGTATGTTTCTTCATACTGCTCCTGGTTTGGAAGGATTTTCCACATGTAGTACACTTATGAGGTCTCTCTCCGGTGTGTACTAATGTATGTTTCTTCATATGGCCCCTGGTTTTGAATGATTTTCCACATGTAGTACAGTTATGAGGTCGCTCTCCGGAATGTATGTCTCTTCATACTGCTCCTGGTTTGGAATGATTTCCCACATGTAGTACAGTTATGAGGTCGCTCTCCGGAGTGTACTAATGTATGTCTCTTCAAATCCATTTTGGTTTGGAATGATTTCCCACATGTATTGCACTTATGACGTCTCTCTCCGGTGTGTACTAATGTATGCATCTTCATACTGCCACTAGTTTGGAATGATTTTCCACATATAGTGCACTTATGAGGCCTCTCTCCTGTGTGTACTAATGTATGTTTCTTCATATTTATTTTGGTTCGGAATGATTTTCCACATGTAGTGCACTTAAAAGGACGCTTATCAGAATGAGTCAACAAATGATTCTTTACTTGAATTAGATTAGTAAATGTTTTTTCACATGTCAAACATCTAAAGGGACGCTCATCTGTGTGTAAATATATATGACACTTCATTTTTGATAGAGTTGAAAACATTTTTCTACATATTGGGCACTTAAGGCGAGGCTTTTTAGTGACCTTAAACATTTTATTTTTGCATTCAATGTCTGACATAACTTATCAGACAATCTAGAAACTAATTAGAATTAGTGAACTGGCTTTGTGAGTATATTTTTGTAGGATTTGACGTTTAAAAGTTATGTGTATCAATATAATTTGATGAACTTTTTGCTCAAATATTGTTATGTTTATTAAAACAATACAACATAGCCTACTTGAGGCATTTTCTTTACTTTCATAATCAATCATATCAAATTAGTTGAGAAGAAAGAGTGATTTTGTATGCTTCATGTTGTTTTCAAATAAAAGTGCATCACCCATTAATTAAAATTCAATTTTTTAGTAAATTACTTACTTTTATTTGTACTTTTAGTGTAGTAAAAAGTTAATCTTTTCAACTGTTGTTTTAAGTATCTTTAATACTTTGCAGATTAAGTTAATTAACTTTTTTGCTACATGAATTGAAGTTCCTTTTCTTCTCCAAATCTATTGCCTCTTCTGAAAAAGATCATATTTTATTGAATTTATACATTTGTTGTAATCATTTAGATAGATTGCTTGTTCATTTAAGTTAGTCTAAGTCTAAACAATAATTTCAAATCAATACTAAAATTTATACTAAATCCATAGCTCTATTATAATGTAAAATGAGGATCATAAATGGAATTAAATGAAATGAAATGAAAAGAAATGAAATGAAATAAGCTTTATTGTCTTTTGAATTTGTACAAATTATCGACAATGTCAAGAAACAACTAAAATTAAAGCATAGTCATTTAATTAAATAATAAAATACTTATAGCTAACTAAACAAAGGGAGACATATTATAATACATATTCTAAATGAATAATTATTACAACTGAAGAATCTTATTCTTAAAAAAAATCTTCCAAACTATAAAACGGGTTATTGGTCAGCCAACAATAAAATTTATTCTTGAAATCCTCATATTGTGTAATTTAATTATGGATTCAAGAAAGTTGTACACTTTAAGTGATAAAACTATGTGACTATTTAGAGTTTTACTTAAACGATGGAATTCTATTAAGGTATTGGTTCTTATTTCTGGTATTATGATCATGAGTATGGTTTCTACATTTTAAAAGATGTTGATTTTCCAATATATAAACTATTAAGTCATAAATATAAACGTTAATAATAGTAGCGATTTGAAGATTTTGAAAAAGTGGTTTGCTGTGGTCTCTCGAGCCTTTATTAGAGATAACTCTAACCGCTTTCTTTTGCCAAACAAGAATTTCCTCTAGCCTAGCACAATTGCCCCAAAAAATTAGGCCATACCTGAAAATGGATTGAAAATATGAAAATTGTGCCGTTCGGACATAATTTAGTGGAATGCATTTTTTCAGACGGCCTGGTAAAATATTACACGAGAAAGGCTGGTATTTAAATAGTCTATATGAGAATCCCATGTTAGCTGACTATTTACATATATTCCCAAAAACTTTGCTGAAAAAACTGTACCACCCTTATCACTGTTCTCAAACAACTCTCTTGAATTATAATTTAAGGAAAATATAAATTTTTGTGATTTTACTTTGTTAAGCAAAAGTCCATTACTATGAAACCAATTTTGTGCATTATTTAATGTTTCATCAGCCAATTTTTCAAGATCTTTATAGTTTTTACTAGTAGATAAAAAGGTAGAGTCATCTGCGTACAGAATGGTTTTACAATCAACAGAAGAGGGTAGATGCGTACAGAATGGTTTTACAATCAACAGAAGAGGGTAGATCATTTAATATAGATTAAGAAAAGAAGGGGACCAAGGACTGAACCCTGTGGCACTCCCCACTCGACTGACACTTCATCTGACCATCTTCCTTTTTTTCAAACTGCTTGTTTCCGATTTTGCAAGTAGCTTCTTAAAAAAGATAATGGAGGGCCATCAAATCCATAGTACTGTAATTTAGAGATGAGAATATTGCTGTCAATAGAGTCAAACGCTTTACTGAGGTCACAGAAGGTGGCCTGAGCATAAGTTTTATTTTCAAAAGAGAGATACCTGACTTGATCGTCCAATGCATTGAGAGTGGATTTTCCCTTTCTAAAACCGTATTGGTTGTTGTTCAAGATGTTGTTTATTTCAAAATAATATCTGATTTGATCGCAATTTAAAAACTATTTTGTTCTTGACATTTTTTCCGTAAACCCACTCGATTAGGAGTTACAGCCTATGAAAAAGATACTTCCGGTGTACATTTAACATCATTTAGCCCTTAAACGAGTAAGTTTAGAGCAAAAATGTGAAGAGTAAGTAAATCTTAAAATGGAAGGTATGGGGGTTTAGTGAGTGGGAGAAAATTTCGCGCCGTTCCGGCCAAACCTCGCATGAGGGGTTGGTTCGGCAGATTGGCCACAACCTAAACCCCAACTCTCACTTGTTAGCTGCGGAGAGCTACCTTCTGCCACTGGGTGTTGGTCCACCTACTGAACCAAGTGAGGGGGGCCCTAGACTAAGGTGTAATGCGATCCGTGCCAAGAGTCTTGTGGCACTGGGGGCCTAATATTCAGTGTCTTAACGGAGCCCTCTGAGAACCAGGGGTAACCCAGTCGTACGCACCCCTTACCTCTCTAATCGGGTCACTGGGGAGGTGGACTTAAATACCCGGTATTCGTGAGAACAATGTAGACAATCTGACCCAAATGGAGGAGGAAGGTCTACTGAAATCTGACGATGACGACAAGCTCGCAGAAACCGGAAAGGAACGAAAAACGACTTTCCAGGGGCGAGTTGGAAAGATGGAGGATAGCGGATGCTTAAGCCAAAGGCAAAAAGGTGCTATCCAGAAGTGAGAGGAGGCTGGTGTGGGCTGCCAAGCACCCTAACTCTGCTGCCTGCAAAGCCAGTTCCTCCGGGAGCTAGGATGCTGGGAAAAAGCAGAGCAAGGGTGGTACCCCCAAAGCTGACTCTAATGAAGCCTCCAGGAAGAAAGGTGGAGGCTGTGCTAACGCAGCCACAAAGGATTGGCTGGTCAAGCAAGTTCAGGAACTGAGTCCTTTCAGGAAAATCTCGCTACGGCTTGCCCCAGCCAGAGACCTTGTGAAAGCTGTGAAGGTATATTTATGTACCCAGCCCTACAAGGTCTGCGTATGAGATCCCTCGTACGAAAAACGACTTTCCAGGGGTGAGTTGCAAAGACAGAGGATAGCGGATACTTTAGCCAAAGGTGAAAAAGTGCTATCCAGAAGTGAGAGGAGGCTGGTGTGGGCTGCCAAGCACCCTAACTCTGCTGCCTGCAAAGCCAGTTCCTCAAGGAACTAGGATGCTGGGAAAAAGCAGGGCAAGGGTGGTACCCCCAAAGCTGACTCTAATGAAGCCTCCAGGAAGAAAGGTGGAGGTTGTGCTGACGCAGCCACAAAGGATTGGCTGGTCAAGCAAGTTCAGGAGCTGAGTCCTTTCAGGGAAATCTCGCTACGGCTTGCCCCAACCAGAGACCTTGTGAAAGCTGTGAAGGTATATTTATGTGTCCAGCCCTACAAGGTCTGCGTATGAGATCCCTTGGCCTATTGATGGGAGATCAAAGGGAAAAACAGGTCACCATAGTCAAAAGGCTCTCACGGTTCACCAAAGACCTGGGATTTGACGGAGAATGAGGATCTGTGAACGAGGGTGCACAATAAGCTGTTCTAGCTGCGATGCAATCCCATGGTAACTTGTAAGCCTGGCCCTCTATTAAAAAAAAAAAAAAAAATCTTAAAATTGCATTTTAAAGTGCAATTAAAAATAATTTAAATTTTTTTTTAATGGAAAGTAAATAAACAAACAATACAATAAACAAAATTAGAAGATATAAAAGATGAAAACACCAGATATGTCACATTTAGTTACACGGGGACTACAACACAAACAACTGCTAACTAACAAATTCAAGAAATACGGAGTTTCAATAGCCTACAGGACTCAGAACACCATGAGTAAAATACTGCATCCAAAAATAGAAGATTGTAACAAATTCGACGCTTCGGGCATCTATAAAATCTATTGTAATGATTGTGATAACTTCTACATTGGACAGACTGTAAACTTCGTCAGCTGGTTCAAAAACCACATATCTGCATGGAGGAACAACAAACCGGAAAGATCAAATGTCGCACAATACCTGTTACAAAATGGCTACTAGCTGTTATAAAATTAACAGCTGTTTTATTAAAAAGTATTATCCACATGACCAAAATGTAAACAAATCTGTCGAGGGATCTTTAGAGGCTTCTGGGGCAGAGCCCTAAGCGAATTTACATAGTTTTTCTTTTGATAACTTATCTAGAGACCAAGACCATTCTTTGGACACCTCCACCAAGTTTCTACGCCCAGCCGTTCTCTCAAATTAGTGGAGACAAAGTTTCCAAATAAATATTTAGATTCCCCCATGTTAATCTTATGGGAGAAAATCCAACTTTGATGGAAGATCCTGCCCAAACTAATAAAGATATCAAAAAACTAAAAACACTTTGCAAAACTACAGATCAGGGCAATTTCTTTGACACTTTAATCACCAAAATCAGTCCAAAAATGAGGGAGGAGTTCTGTTCACAAAAATCGGATTAGGGTATTTATATATATAGATAGATGTACGCTTATACTGTCTTGTGAGTAACAGTATAAGCGTAAATATATGTTTTAAGTGTTATAATACGTTTCTTTTATTCACTTTCTGTAAATTTAATAAGACGTACAATGTTGATCAAGAAGTTATTTAATTTTTTATAGAAAACCATTTATTTCTAAACTGTATTAAACTAATTAAATTTTTTTTTCTACAAAACAAAATAAAAATGCTCAAGGAATAGATATTTTAATGGGGGAAAATGGAATAAAATAAATTAAATTTCCAATTTGTAGGAGTTGAAGTTGACAATAATCTTAGTTGGGACCAACATACACTAAAATTGGCAAACAATTATAATTGCATCGGGTATATATATGTTCTTAGAAAAATGTCTTTTTTTATGTAGTCTTGACACTTGAAAACCATATTTATTTCACACATATCCACTCTCACATATCTTATGGGGTACCGGTAATTGTTTATGGCGATACAAGTAAAGGCAACCTAGACACAATCTTGATATTTCAGAAGGAAGCTTTGAGAATTATATCAAACTAGATGACCCGTGCTGCTCCGCAGCATTGAAATTAATAATAAAAAATAAAATACTAAACTTAATAAGGGCGGTACAACTTTAATTAAACTCTTATAGGGCTGCTGGATTAATTTCGCCTTATGACCAAATTAAAGTATAACACATTCCATATAACACAGAGAAAATCGTCCCGATGTATTTTTTTCCGTTTTGAAAATCAATTAATCCAGAACAATATCCACACACTTCCTAAAAGCACCTACAGAGAAAGCACGTACATTTGTTAACTCATATGTAACACAGCGTGAATGAGGCTTTATTAAGAATGTTTTATTAACAACAATATTTCTTGTAAAATAGACATCTCTGTCGGTAGAATTGCATGTACGCATAT